TCCTGTTCTGAAATGCTTATCTCCCAGATCTTCACATGTGGGCTTATTTTTGTTTTTCAGAACCCAGCTCAGATGTCACCTGTTTAGAGAGCTGTTTCTAAATCAGTCATTTATCGTCTCTCAGCTGCAAATGCACCACAGCATACTCTGCATTGACTCACTGGGGCTCTGCAAACTACATTTCTTTCTCCAGCTGGCTTTCTGTTAAGTTCAGCAATAGGTTGCATTAGACCAGAGGAGTTTGGAAAATAGGAGGAAAGAAGGGAATCGTGTTTTTTCTAGTTGGCCCGCTGTTTCTGTCAGTATCACCTGGGCAACAACAACTGGTTCTAGCCTGCATTTTGGTTGTTTTGTTTTTGTTTTTGGAGTTCTCAGAATTGGCAACTGGGCAGTGCCCTCTCCTTAAGAGGGCTGAATCCTAGCTCCAAAGGGTCTGACCTCTGAGCTTCTAGGTTCTGATTCCCCTAACCTTTCCCTCCCAAATCACCAGCCCTAGGATAATTGCTTCCTCTAGTTGTCTCTGGTATCTGTTTCCTTTTTGCTTTTTTTCTAGGCCTCCCACACCTATTTAACATATTCCTGCATTGAAGCCCCTCTATTCAAATACTTAGTGTAATTTCTGCTTCTTTTTAAATGGCTGGATCCTGACACAACCACTGAATCTGATTTAGGCCTCCACCCAGTCACTGTCTAACATGTCACTGAATGTTTTTCACATACTTTTCCCAACCTGCATTTAAATTGTTTTCCTTTCTCATAATCTCTCTCCTTCACTTAGATATCAGAGACTGTCTCATTTATCATGGTATTCTCAGTGCCTAACATGGAGCCTGGCATACTGTAGGAGCTTAATAAATGCTCGTTAAATAAAATGAATTATTTCAAAAGACTGCAGGAGAAATACTGGTAACTGGCCATACAAAATGGACAGGATTGAGCAAGTCTTTAACTTTTTGGTTGTAGGCCAACTTATTGGTAAATTCTCTAACAATATAACTCAGAGAGTCAAGCATAATGTTTCTTATAAACGTTAGAATGCAATGCAGTATTTAATGTAGACCCATCATCACTGGAATAACAAGATATACAGTTTATTTACTTTGAATTCTGTACTTAAATAACCCTCTACCCCATTTTCTATAATTGGAAATAATGACTTACTTGTTAAGGTTTCATGAAGCCAACAGGTTAGATCTTTAAAATTTTGTTGGTTAGCAAATAATTTTAAATATGAAAGTCATCCAAAAGAATCCACCTGCTGAAACATGCAACATCACCAAGCATTTACTTGATAAACTTCACCTGCGTATGTTCTTTTTTCATTGTGTGATATGATTTGAAACAACCAAACCATAGAACCAAAAAATCTGGTTAAAAAGGAACTGCTTAACTTTTATACAGCTACAAATCAAAACCTGAAAACTTTTCTTCTATAGCTTTTAGGTAAGTATCAACTACTAAGATAAAAAAGACTTGTAATATGTCATATATGCTTAATTCTTAAGTTTAGTAAAATGAATGCAAATAGATTAGATGAAATTGATGTTCACTGTGCCAAGTAGAGATATTTTATTGAATTTTAACATTTAACTGACATTTCCTTTGTATCCACTTCAAACGTGTTCATATCTTCTCCCTTTTCTAACTCAGAAGGAAAAATGTCCCTTTTTTTTCCAGCTGAATTGGGCCACCAGGGTTCTTAAATCCAGCCCTTCTTTCATTGTTAATATGCCCACCACTCTTGTTTCTTTTTCAAAACACACAAAACAAATCTTCCCTCTACCTTGTTATCAGTTCATGCTAGCATTTTGTGTCTTTTTTCACACACAGATTCTGAAGAATTCATGTTCACAGTTTCTATTTTGCCATGTGGCTTTTGCTCTTAAGCCACTACTAAAATTGTACTCTTACAGTTTACAAATAATAGCCTAATCAATTAAGACTTTTGGAGCTTTCATCCTTTTTGGTATTTCTTTTGCATTTACAGTTGATTATCCTTCCTTCTTGAGACTTTTCTCCTTGGTTTGTGAAACGCTGCACTCCCTTCTCTTCTCTTCTTCAAACTATTTTCCCCTCATTCCATTCATGGCTTTTTCCTCCAACATCCCAAGGCTTGTCCTCTTCTCTTGGCAAGCCTTTTCTGGATAATCTTTTCCATCCACGCTTGCATTTCAGATACCACCTTTATGTGAATGATTTCCAGAGTTTATCCAGTCAGTAACTCTTTTGTGAACTCCTAACCTGTAGTTTCAAATGCCATTGGGACGTATCTATCTTAGCACTCCTGGCATCTCAAACACATGCTCAAACTCATCAACTCCTCCATAAAACTAATTTTTCTTACTTTTTGTTAATGTTTAACATTTTCTCAGTCAGCCAAGAGGGGAGACTTTGAATCATCTCTCCCTTACTTCCTTTCCAAAACCTGAAATCAGCCATAAAATTCTTTCCGTTCTTTCATCTCCAGAGATGTATCCATCTGTCCAGACCATCCTGTCACCATCACCTCTACCCCTCACCTGCACAATTGCTATAACTTCTTAAGTGGTGTCTCTCACTTGTTTCTCTTCATTGCAGTCTATCTGACTCAAGGCTGCCAAAGCATTTTCCCTAAAAGGATGTCTCTGATCATGATACTTCCCTAATCAAGAATCTCTAATGGTTTTATTGCCTCTAGAATAAATCTAGACTCTTATTTCAGAACTTTATAGTTTGGGCCTTAAATCAGTACCTTTTCAGTCTTACAAACATCATATACCTATTTTGTTTCTATAACTTAAGAGTTTAAGAAGATAGACTGTAGTCTGAGGTTGGTGGTTCATGCCTGTAATTTCAGCACTGTGGGAGGCTGAGATGGGTGGATCACTTAAGCCCAGGAGTTTGAGACCAGCCTATCTCTGTAAAAGACAAAAAACAAAACAGAACAAAATAAAGCATGTGCATAGCTACTCAGGAGGCTGACATGGAAGCATCACTTGAGCCCAGGGAGGTCAAGGCTGTAGTGAGCTCAGATCAGCACTCCAGCCTGGGAGACAGAGTAAAACCTTATCTCAAAAAAAGAAAAAATATAGGTCAGGCGTGGTAGCTCACACCTGTAAATCCCAGCACTTTGGCAGGCTGAGGTGGGTGGATCACGAGGTCAGGAGATTGAGACCAGAGACCATCCTGGCCAATGTGGTGAACTCCGTCTCTACTAAAAATACAAAAACTGGCTGGGCATAAGGGTGTGTGCCTGTAATCCCACCTACTTGGGAGGCTGAGGCAGGAGAATTGCTTGAACCAGGGAGTTGGAGGTTGCAGTGAGCCAAGATCGTGCCATTGCGCTCCAGACTGGTGATAGAGTTAGACTCCGTCTCAAAAAAAAAAAAAAAAAAAAAAAATAGACTGTATATTCTATAATAAAACAATTATTATTCTTTGTTTTTGGAATACCTGTTTCCTATGCTATCGTCTTCAAAATTCTACCCTTCCTTCAAGAACCACTAATGTCAGCGGGCATAGTGGCTCACACCTGTAATTCCAGCACTCTGGGAGTCCAATGCAGGAAGATCACTTGAGGCCAGGAGTTTGGGGGTGTAGTGCACTATGACCATGATGCTGCACTCCAGCCTGGGCAGTAGAGCGAGACTGTGTCTCTAAAAATAAAAAGACCCACTAATATGCCATCTTACACCTTGAAATCTCATCTGAATTCATCCAACCCTTAAAAGCTGTATTATAGCATTTATCACATTCTATACACTCTATATTATAATATCAAATATATTAAATGTTATGGTTATTTGCATACATTTTTGTTATCTCCCTAATGAAGTATAATGTTAGGTACTCTGCCCTATTAATGTCTGTAAATAGTAGGATGATGTACTTTGTACCCAAGAACACAGTAGATGCTTAACAAATATTTCCTGAATGTAGATAAAGGGATTCTTTGCATACTCTTCCATTTGACCTCTATTAACTAACCTTACATTCTTCAACTGTAAATATAAAATGAAAATATCACATATCAGTATCAAATATTTGTTTACTATTTTGCCTTTATTTACCATCCCTTAACATTTTGTTTACTATTAGGCCAAATTTGTAGTTTAGTTTCCTGAGCACATTTTACAGTATATTTAACATCCTTCTGTTACCACCATTTGAAAAGGGCCCCTAATTTTTTTATTAAAGGAGCCATTGTAGATAGAGTATATTTTACTTATTGTATTTTCTATGGTCAGCACAGATTTTTTTTTCTCCATTTCTCATTTCCTTTCTAACATGGTTAAAAAATTTCGAGGTATGGCTGGGAGCGGTGGCTCACGCCTGTAATCCCAGCACTTTGGGAGGCCGAGGCAGGTGGATCACAAGGTCAAGAGATTGAGACCATCCTGGCCAACATGGTAAAACCCCATCTTTACTAAAAAAAAAATACAAAAATTAGCTGAGTGTGGTGGTGCATGCCTGTAGTCCAGCTACTTGGGAAGCTGAGGTAGGAGAATCACTTGAACCTGGGAGGCGGAGGTTGCAGTGAGCTGAGATCGTGCCACTGCACTCCAGCCTGGCGACAGAGAGAGACTCCCTCTCAAAAAGAAATTTTTGAGGTGCTCATCTGCAATTTTTTTGGTTCGTTATTTTTTTCTCCGTTTCAAAGAACGGTAGATGTTTAAAATTGGCTTTTATGGCATCTAAAATAAATTTTTTTTCTAAGTCATTAATATCCTTCCTGTAAATTTGCTTGCTGTTCTCCATCTATGACTGGAAACACCAGACCAATTTCAGGTTCTCCTACCTTCTCATCTGTATTTTCACAACTCTATAGATCGCAATGCTATGATCACATTTTTCCCCAAACATTGTAATAAGATATAGAGTTATAATATACCATATTTTAAATCTCCTTGGTAGGCCATCTTAACTATTCCTTTTATCCAGGCTATTTCTTTTATCCAGGCAGAACCCTATCAGAATGGCATGACATTCCTCTCTTTTTTAATAATGAGGCCAATACAATACATTTTTAAATAATGATCAAGGAATTTTTTTTTATTCATTAAGTTTCAGTATCATTACAGAAAATGTTATGGTACAGAGTTGTTTAACATTATTTTGTCTTTGCTCTTGATTTCCACGTGAATGCTGGTAACACTAATATCTGTACAAGATCAGTCTTTGATTTTATTTTTTTGTTCTGTACAATTTTAAATGTATTGGTTAAAAAGGCTGTCAGCACTTAAGGAAGCATTTTTCTTCAGTTTGTTGGTTCAAATAAAAGGTATCCAGTTACCGCCCAAGAGTACTGTGCCATGAGGCTATTGGGGCGAGAAACCTCCCTGGATGCTCTGCAGGGGATGGTTCTCGAGGCAAGGCAGAGCCTCCACCCAGTCAGTCTTCTTTTGGCACTGTGCACATAAACACGAGATACATGAGAAGGAACAAGCAAAAGCTCTCTGTAAAGCAGTTATGAAGCATACTAAGAAGGGAAATCCAAGTGTTGCCTACGCTAGTATAAATAAGCAGACAGCCTTGATTTAAGAGCATAAGTAGTTGTATTTTAAAGATGAGAAAAACACAAGTTCTGCAGGCACCTACCGCTGTCTACTAAAAGCTATCGCTATCAGACCTAGCATTGAACACACAAAGCAATTTGCAAGAAAGGAAAAATTTGCCTTGATATAATCAGAATAGAATTGTCTGTTAAGATTTATTTTTAGGTGTTTTTTTCTTTAAAAGATATTTAAATTCATTTGAAATATAGTTCCAGATGTTGACTATACAGATCAACTTTCATCCAAATCAGGAAAACTAGCTGTGCCGTTGCATATTACAGGATACAGTCAATGATATGTGGACATGCATCAAAGCTTTCTCCTGCTGGTGACCATCATAGCCGTCCAATGACCATGACATCCACCACCTCGCCTTTGTGGAGCTCCACGTACTGTTCTGTCTTTGGAGGTAGCATCAACAATCCATTGGCACTGCGCATGCTCATCAGACGGCTGCTCATTTGATTACCTAGAAAGAAATAGTCTTACTACAGCAGCACAAGCATCATGGCATATACATTTGGGGCCTTGTAGACCTTTTCAAAATGAAAACGGACAGAAATGCAGGTCTTTAAGAGGAGAAGAGATGATCAGACTTTCCAGTACCCTTTTCAGGTGGCCATGCTATTATATCCTACCACCTGCTCATTCAAACTTTAAAAATAAACATTAGAAATTTTTGCCTGAAAGAGTAAAACCAAGATTTTATAGCATTATGGAAAATGCCACAGAATTTCTCAATTCAGGCTGAAATGTTATGCATGTCGGAAAAGGGAGGCTTTAAAAAGCCTATTAAAATAATGATGACAATAACAGTAGCAGCTACCATTTCTTTACTAACTGCCAAAGTATTAGGCAGTTAACTTAAGCACCTTATTTGATTCTCATGAAACTCAAAGAAGTCTTAGGTAACTTGCCTAGGATCCTGCTAACTAGGTTGGTGGCCAATCTGAATGCAGGTCTCTCTGATGGCATGAACTTTGTCACTGTTATGTTGATGTTTTCACTTGGTAGGATCTTTGTTTAAGAGTACTCCAATTCTTCTGGAGTCACATCAAAAGTTAGGCAAAATATGACTAGAAAAGTTGGGAATAACAGTTTAAGTCTAGTAGAGGTAACTATAGAACTCTGATGATTAATATTGATTTCTCTGCCCTTCAAATTTACCAGTAACTAGGGTATAGTAGAGGCTACAGAGAATCATATTATAAATTAGGCTTTCACCTCACATTTCAGGATGGTATAGCTAGAATCTCCTCCTTTTCCTACAAAGTTATACTCAGAACTTACGGGGTGAAGAAACATATCAAATCTTCTGTAATTCTAGATTTATTACAGGATATTAGTCAATGATATGTGGACATTCTAAATGTTTACCTAGAAAATATGGCTCAATAAAATAAGTAAACTTCTAATAATTATTTTTTAACTTTTGTCATACTGTTTAGGAATAATTTAACTCATCTAACTTTTCAAAAAGGAAAATGTGTAATAATTATAAAATCAGTTATAACCAAGAAAGATCATATATAAATTTGTGTTTTAACAGGATAGGTGCCTAGGAATATTTGTAGATATGAATGACTAACCTGTACTCTGTGCCCAAGGCAGTGGTTCTTGGTGATGCCAAGTTAGTATACACCGATGGTATTCTGGACGAGGATCCAGTTTTACATCACATGATAACTATAGAATAAAAAACAACAACAACAAACTTGGTCACCTGATCATCTCAGAAAATTACAAGATGGTAGGGGTTCTGCAAAGAATACAGTGGACATGGAGACTATCCTTGGTATTCTGTTGTTGCTATCACTGCCACTTTATGTTCTTTTCCTTTTAAATAAAATTTAAAAATGTATTTTTTCTTTTGACACAAGGTCTCGGTCTGTCACCCAGGCTGGAGTGCAGTGGCACGATCATGGTTCACTGTAGCCTTGACCTCCTGGGCTCAAGTGATCTTCCTGCCTTGGCCTCCTGAGTAGCTGGGACCACATGCATGTGCCACCACACCTAGCTAATTTTAATTTTTTTGCAGAGATGGCATCTTGCTATATTTCTCAGGCTGGTTTTGAACTCCTGGGCTCAAGCAATCCTCCAGCCTTGGCCTCCCAGAGTGCTGGGATTATAGGCATGAGCCACCATGCCCAGCCACCTTATATTCTTAATACAGGAAGTCCAGGGGTTGAGTTGCTCTGGTGAAAAGATAAAAGAAGGCTAAGAAGCTGGTGTTCAGCTTCTGTTTGTCTGGAAAAGGCTTTATTTCTCCCTCATTCTTGAAGGATAGCTTTGCTGCATGTGGTATTTTTGGTTGGCAATTTTTTTTTTCTTTCAGCACTTTAAATATATCATTCCCTTCTTACCTGGCCTGTAAGGTTTCTGCAGAGAAATCTGCTATTAGTCTAATGTGGACTTCCTTATATGTGACTTGATGCTTTTGTTTTGCTGTTATTTTAATTCTTTGTCTTTAACTTTTGACAAATTAGGAAGGATCTTTTGAGTTGGATATATTTGGAGACCTTTGATTTCCTGGATCTGGATGTCTTTATCTCTCCACAGATTTAGGACGTTTTCAGCTATATTTTGTTAAATAAGTTTTCTATCCTCTTTCCCTTCTCCTCTTCTTCTGGATTCTTGACGATAAAAATATTTGTTGATTTAATGATGTCCCATAAATCTTACAGGCTTTCTTCATTCTTTTTCATTGTTATTTCTTTTTTTCCCCTTCTGAGTGAGCCATATATGTGTGTGTGTGTGTGTGTGTGTGTGTGTGTGTGTGTGTGTGTGTGTTTGAGACGGAGTTTTGCTCTTGTTGCCCAGGCTGGAGTGCACTGGTACAATCTCGGCTCACTGCAACTTCCGCCTCCCAGGCTCAAGTGATTCTCCTGCCTCAGCCTCCTGATAGCTGGGATTACAGGCATGTGCCACCACGCCCAGCTAATTTTGTATTTTTAATAGAGATGGGATTTCTCCATGTTGGTCAGGCTGGTCTCGAACTCCCAACCTCAGGTGATTCACCTGCCTCAGCCTCCCAAAGTGCTGGGATTACAGGCATGAGGCACCGCACCCGGTGCTGAGTGGGTAATTTCAAATGACCTATCTTCAAGTTCAGAAAGTCTTCTGCTTGACAAAGTCTGATGTCAAAGCTCTCTATTGTATTTTTTTATTTCATTCATTGAATTCAATAGCTGTAGGATTTCTGGTTGTTTTTTTTTATGATTCCTATCTCTGTTGAATTTCTCATTTAAAGCATGAATTGTTTTCCTGATTCTGTTGAATTGTCTATATATATATTTTCTTATATCTCATTGAATTTCCTTCAGATAATTATTTTGCATTTCTTTTCCAGCACATCATTGATTTTCTTTTCATTTGGGTCTGTTACTAGAGACTCATTATATTCCTTTGGTGGTGTCATATTTGCTTGCTTTTTTGTGTTTCTTGTGAGCCTGCATTAATTTGTGCACTTGGTGGAAATACTCTTTCTTCCAATCTTTCTGGTTTCCATAGAGAAAGACTTTCATTTGCAATTGGGTTTTAGTCTGCTAGTTGGGAAGCATGTGGTGACTTTTTCAATAGGTATAGTGAGCCTCCTAAGTAGCAGGGATTACAGGAGGGTGCCACTGTGCCTAGCAAGGATGATGTACAGTTTCCATGCAGCATCTTCAGATGCATTCAGGGTGAGCAGTAACTCTGGGTGCCTCAGCTACCTAGTCCATAGAAGTTTGTGGAAGTAGTGGTGGTGGTGGCATAGGTTGCTAATATTCAGTGTCAAGGGCTTTTAGTGTCTTCCTCATTCTTATTTTCTCCACAATGGGAAGACATAGCCTAGGGGGATCCCTCTGGGTATCAAATCTGACATGGCCTATAAGAAGGCCTACTGCAGCACTGGGTTCCCTGGTACAGGTGTTTAAAGTGGATGTGGGGCCAGGGTCCTAGGCTCAGGGTCTTGCAAACCTGTGGCACCTGGGTCTTGGGGTGCTTGTTTCTCTGCGGTAGGGTTGGGTGTGGGCTGTACATAGAGCCAAGGTACCCCTTAGCAGCTGGGGTTCAGGTAGCTGAGTTGTAGCTATGATCCTGCCCCAGAGGGGCAGGGCACAGCTCTAGCCTGACTCCAGAGAAGAAGGCATGCCCTTAACATTTGGGCCTGGGGAGCAGGCTATGGTTGCCATCCAGGAACCTGAGCCAGTAGGGCTTAGTGGCAACCTAGGTCCCAGGGGATGAGGCATCGTGTAGTAGTGACTCTAGACCGTGTGCTAGTGGGGCTTGGCAGAATCCCAGACTTTGTGCGTCTAGGTGCAGCAGCAGTAAGTAACCTAGACTGGTGGAGCACAGCTGTCATTTGGGCCTAGGGTGGGGACAGTAAATAGCATAGCTATGACTGCATTTCCTAGGAAGAGGTGTTTCTCAGCTGCTCAGACACTAGGGGGCTAGTTTAGTTTCAGGAAAGGAGAGTATGAAGTTGTTTGGCTTGTATGATGGGGTGTCTTAGCTCAGCTACTGCTCTGTTTCCCTGGGTTGTGGGTACTACATTGGCATAGCTCTGGATGTCCAGCTGCTCAGTTCAGCCAGGGTGCCAGTTGCCTAGGGGGTGATGTGCTGCTTCAGCTCAGGCCTTGGGGACAGGACTGTTCTGGGTGGCTCTGGCACCTTTTCTCTGGGATAAAGGGTGGTGCTTTAGCTTAGGTACTAGAGCACATGATTACTTTGGGCAGCAAAAGCACCATTTCCTGGGATGCTGGGTGCTGCTTCAACTTAGGCTAGTGCATGACTGAACTTAGGGAGGCATGACTGCTCTAAGCAGCCAAGATACTGTTTTCCTAGGAGGCAGTATATGGCTTCAGCTCTGACTGAGGGGGATGGAAAAGGGGTAGGTGGAGTAGCTTTATTTCTATTTGGCTGCACTGGGAAAGTTGTAACAGCTGCTTGCATTTCAGCATGTGGATGTCAGGATGCAGTGTTGGGGTAACATTGGGGATGAAGGAGTGCTGTCGCTACTCACTCTCAGAGCAAGACACACTCCAGCCATAGTTCCAGTTCCAACATGGTATAGTTCAGTAGCTGCACAGGCCACAGAGCACATTGTTGGCTCCTTTTCTGGGGAGAGCATAGCTCTGTGGACTCCAGGCAGTTCCTTCAGCTGGGCTTCATGCTTATGAGGACTGCAGGGTACAACACTGGGAGGTCTGTAGGTATCTAAAGTGCTAATGGGGGTTGCTGGGATCCTCTGCTTAACTCCTTGCTATAGGAGGTCCTTCTTTGTTCCCCGCTGATCTGATCTGGCTGGGGAATGCGATGGTGGAGGCCTGGTGTTTCCTTCTGTTCTCTATGTGACCATCCTGGGTTTCTGTGCTCACCAGGGTTTCTGTTACTCCATGGATAGACTCTGCTGCTCTTCTTCAGTTATTTTCATTAAAATGTGGTTATTTATTAATTGTTCTGGCCGTGTTTGTGAGGGGGCACAAGGGACTTATAGTTGGTTATCTTCTAGAACACACTTTCCCCCTTTTCCATCTCTTAATAAGTTGTTAATACTAATGGGAGTTACTCCAGGTATGTTTCTAGTGAAAAAAGTTGAGAACAAGGGTGGTACAGAATGCTTTGATGGGATATTAAGGAAACACATGATAGGATGTCCTTGTGTGGAAACATGGTGCCAATAATTCTATTTGATGAATTGCTAGGATTGTGTTCCTTTTTTTTTTTTTTTTT